TACTTTTGGATTACCTCAACACCAAATGCAATGCAAATTAATACAAGAGAAAATAAATATCCATAAGATGTTTTTTACTTAAGTGTATTAGGTCAAGACAACAGAACATTGTGACCTTAGAAAAGAGGAAAGCACGATATTTAGGATCAAAAATGATTTTGTTTATAGGAAAAGCTGCCTTTCATGAAGCATATTCAGGCAGCAGCCTAACGATGAAACACATGAGCATAGACTACAGTTAAAGAGCTGACAGAAAATGCTCCGTTTTAGTTTAATACACACATCGGTTCACCTGCTGAATTAAAAACAGAACAAATGAAGCAAAGAAAGTGAAAACCATGAAGTAGATTCAGGCAGTAGAAGAATAGATTCACACTTAAAGTATTATCCTACAGAACAGAACAGCTCACAGAGAAGAGAGAACATCTGATCCTTTTACAACAAACCAGTGGCGAACCGTGGCTATCACAACTGGACCTTCTGTAGACACACACACCCCCCCCCCCCCCCCCCCCCCCCGGCGTTATAATGTCCGTCTTTTCACTGAATTGTCGTCTTGAAAAGGGTACTCACAACAATTCTGCAACAACTTCCTCTTCACCTGTTGCACTTGCCATTTCAACGTTAACAACAATAAAACGGTATGAATTGCTTCGTCGCATTCGTCTAGATCAGGGGTTCCCAAACTTTAGTAAAATCTCAAGGCACACCTATTGTGCAAAATAGCCCGTATAACACGTGTTATCACTCATATCATGTAAAATATCTGTAAATGTGCATAATTATTTACTAATGCCAAATAAAATGTGACAAAGACAACTATATTACTCATGAAATATTTATTAACGAAATATTTCAGAAATTAATTTGAAACGTTATCAAATTAGGCTTCATCAAAGCAGCAACACACTCATTTAAACCAGACAGGTCACAACATTCAAAATGAGGCAAAGGAAACTCAGCAGAAATTCAGCACAGAGAACTGTCAATGCAAGGAAGCTGCACTGCATGGTCCTGAACTACAAATTATAAATGTAACATTTCAGCAATCAGCATTGAAACATGTGCTATTGTAAATATTTTTGCCGACTTACAAATTAGTGAGATACATGTGCCTGTCGGGGCGCACAGAATGTTTTAATCCTTGGTGGCACTGAGGAGAGGGCCACTCGCAAGTCCTGTTCAACAGAGAGCCGTGACCTCCTGTTGTTCTTCATGTAAATCAGAGTAGAGAACGCCAACTCCAGAGATGGGGTAGTTACTAAAAAAATGTAATATATTACATATTACTTTTTTTTTTTTTTAAGTAATATATTACACTACTTCGTTACTATCTACATAAAGTAACTCGTTACTTTACTCGCCGAGCACGTACGAACTGCACATGCGTGAGTGGCAATAACTTTCCTTACCAGCAGGTGGCGGTAGGGTGTATTTGTCATTCAAAACAGGCAACAACCGGAAGACAGAGAAGAAGAACAGACTGCGTGATATAAACAAACAACAAATAGCGTGTGCGGTAGCTTCACCTTAGCATGTGTTCTTTGCAGGTGCTTGTTGAGGTTTGACCACGTGGTGTTTCCAGCAGTGGATAACAGCTTCTGGCCTGGACACAGTTTGCACCTCACCGTCACATTCCTGTCTATTCTTCGGACGAACTCAAAGTAATGGGCATACCTCCACCCCTCGAAAGTTATCGCTGACTCAGCCATGTTTATGCAGCACTGCACGTGGAGATGTGGACGCGCAAGTCGCGCAGATTACGTACATATAAACCTACAAAGTACTGATATAGTAAATAAAAAATAATAATTTTTTGTGTAGTTGTATATTGCAATAATAACGTATGGTTGTCACAAAATCCCACGGCACACCCGGACTTGCCTCACGGCACACCAGTGTGCCGCGGCACACCGTTTGGGAACCACTGATCTAGATCCTCTGTCTCGAGCCAGTTAACTAGCGGGCCTTCTAGAATACCCTGGAACCGAGGGGAACTCTGAAAGAACACGCCCATTGGCTACAAATCAATATGTGATTGGTTGATCAAACTGTCAGTCCAAACGCTCTCATTCAGTGCAACGGCCAGGGCATTCGATCAAGGATGTAGAATACCTTGGTGAAGGATATTCTACCCAGAGACCCAGAACAAGATCTGATTGGTTGCTTTCTTTTCTAACACAAAACCACTGAAATGCGTAGTGCATGGTCCGAGAAGGACAAACAAATCAACGTAACACTGTGATATTACAGATCAACAACAGATACGATTCTCATTTTATTAACAATCGATTTTTTGTTTGTTTTATCTGAGTGTTCCAGGGTATTCTCTGAATACCTTGAAGGCCCTGACGGTTCGCCACTGCAACAAACACTTGATCTTTTTAGATTTTAGTAACACTGTAATCCTGCTAGTAATCCCCAAGTTGTACAGGGATCTGATTACGTCTTTTCTATGCAACTCTCAGGGAATACAGTTACTTGTTGTACTTACGTAATCCCTTTACATGTAATCTATTTCTCCCCTCGCCTGTCGGCCAGCACCTCCTTAGTGCCTCCGTGCTGTTTGCCAGGCTGCCGGTAAGATTCACAGAGTTTTAATTTCACTGTGACCGGTGGCACCATATGTCCAGTGATTGAGTCATGCGGCCTGTTCATGAAACTTGTTGTGACAGGACGTTCGAAGGCTCTGGATTTGTTTATCTCAGCTGCGTGTTTCACCCCCCCCCGTCGAGGCACTTGACTCATACCCCTCAAGCAGGAGGAAGCCCTGTGTAAACCTGTAGCTCCAAACATGGAGGTGGGAGGGATGACTCAGAGGTACAGGGATCTCAACAAAATGAGATGAGAGCAGCCTTTCTCAACTTATTACAAAAGCAGAACCACAAACTTTGACCCACAGAGATATTTTTGCGGCCTGTGTAATGAGTCCCAAAAATGAAGCATCGCCAGGCTCACTGCAGCATCACTTTTGATTGCCTTTCCCACTGGGATTGCAATTATGATTTAAGACGTTTTAATGTGGTCATAAGTCGAGGCAATCGTAAGAATAAATGGCAAGAAATTAAGCCTTTTTAATTGGAAGCTCTATTCAAAGCGTAATTTCCAGAAAGTTTATAGTGCACCACATTATGTCTCTGAATGGAAAGTGGTAAAACGCCACCCTCTAAAATGAATGTAGTGATACGTGACGATGAGATAATAAGCCTCTACGAGCTGCACCTGCTCAGAAGTATAGCTCCAGATAATAAAGCCAAAGGAAGTTTCACAGTACCTCATTACCTAAATAATCAAATCTTTCCGGAAACCGTGTACATAGAGTTTGGTCAACATACGAGATAAACCTTGTTTGCAGCCCATAATAATAATCTGTCAAATGAAGCTGTCGCGATGAAAGGAGGGAAATTACTTGTTATCCATTTTGTAGTTAGCAAAGTGTCAGGTTCCTACTCTTTTGAGATTAGATTGATATCTTGCAAGTCTCTGATCAAATGTTCCACGTCTGTAGTATTCCCTAATACTTCCCTTTAATGACATACACAGTGAGAAAGACCCTCTTACACACACTAGTTAGCTTTTATTATTGTTCACCCAGGACTTACCGTCTTAGGAGGCCATACTCACAGATGTCCTTCCCCTCAAAGGAAATCCTTTTGAGATGTATGTCCCAAAATGGACGCAACTCATAAGTGTCTTTGAGCACTGGGAGAAGTGCTATAAAAATTAAATGTATTATTATTAACTCCATCACATAACACGTCTATGATGACCCTGTACCTTGAAATGATGTGGACTTTTTGACCCTTCGAAACCTTTGTGTATGGTTCCCAAAAAAGTAGCTCTCTGTAAAAAGCCTTTGCTGACAACTTTGCAAACCAATGTATTGTTGTACGTAAACTGGCACAGCCATAAACAGACATTCCCATCACTCTTTAAACTAAGCAGATAAGTATAAACTACACACCACTGATAATGAAAAATAATACACCCTATATCGCCTCATCCAGGAATTTCATGAAGCATAAACCTTTCATTTTGCCAAGTCTGGGTCACTTAAGACTAATTATTCCCCCAGTCTCCCCTACACTCATCCACCAATCACCATACTCCTAATCATCATCTTTCTGTACATCGCATAAACTCATCAAGCCTGATTTAGACATCATCATTTTCCATTTTCATTCCTCAACGAAGCTTTCATTAGCCGTTAAGTTGGGCTTGTTTGGAGCACCTGCATTTTTTCCCTCCTCAGACTAATTCGTTTCAGAAACTGTCATTAAGGGCAGAGGCAAGGGTCTGACACCACAGATGGCAGCAGCCTCTTGCAAATGAGCTCTGATTATGAGGTGGCAGGTTTCACTCCCGTTATCATCATTGCCTTTCACGCCATTAGGCATACACAGTGCCAGGGTCACATCACCCAAGGACATTTACACGGTACATTTACCTTACCGGCAAGTCACCTTGTGTTTTTCTTGCACAGCCTCTCCCTTCGGCTTCATTTCGAAAGAATTTGACAACCTCGTTTGAGTCTGTGTTGGCAAAGGCTCCACACTCGGTGAGATATGGGATAGAGCAGTTATTTTTGGCTCGTACATCATACCAGGTGCTCGCGCCCCTGATCCTCACATTGGAAAGCAGAGTCTGAAAATCAGGTTCCTGCTGCTGTGCTCCCATCAATATGTAAAGCTCTTACTCATTTTATAGTTGATTTCTCACTGACTGGGGAGCCCTTGGCCTCTGTCAATCTGAGGGAGGAGCACAGGTCCTAGAAAGAAAGGCAGTATTGATCTAGTAACAGTGGAAAGAAAGGAAGCCAAAAGCTTAGTTCAAACAACTTTCCCATGCTGTTTCGCACATAGTGAAGCCCCTGTAAACACAACCTGTCTGTCCCGGCTGCTACCTGACCTATATTAGCTCTTGAAAATGTCTGTCTTTTTTTTTTTTGCTTCTAGCTCAGTCTCTAACTGAAGTACCTTTTTCTCCATCTTTTCTGTTAGGTGTGAGGCGGCCTCCAGAGCTGGATAAGACCAATCACAGTGTCCATTATACCCTCCTGATCGCCTGTGTTTTGGTGGCTTTCGTCCTTGGCGCCTTCCTATCTGGCTTCCTGGTCTCCTGCTACTGTAACCACACGGGCCACAAGACCAAGAAACTGTCGAAGGATCCCGAGGCCCCGATCCCTCACGCCCTATCCCTCCGCAGCCTGGCCAAGCTCAATGGCCTCCTGGACAGTCAGAGCAAGGACGATAAGCTGGAGGTGTCATCTCCAAAGATCTACAACTCTTTCTTCGCCAACAGCAAGGAACATCACACACCAAGGAGAAACGGCCATCACGCAATGACAATGGGAGACCTGGTTCACCCCCAACACCACCTCCACCACTCCTCAGAGCTGTCCGGTCTGCCGACACCTGACTCAACCCCAGAACTGCCCATCAAGAGCATGAAAGCCTTCAAGAACCAGTGGGAGAAGAACCAGAACTGCAACAATGCCAAGGAACCAAAATCCCACAACTCTGGCTCCAGGCCCAGCTCAGCCCTGCTCCACCCGCAGGTCTTCCCATACTCCCATAGCCTGTCCAATGGGCAGCCACTCATGGGAGGTTATCTCCATCCAGATGAACGCAAAATCCATAATGTTGAACGAGTGCTGTCTCAGCAACCATACCCTGGTTACTCCCAGAAGGTGATGGAGGTGACCTCGCTGGATGAGCTTCTGAAGCACATCCATGAGGCCAGCAGCAGCAAGAACTCCCAGTTAATGAGTCCATCAGGTCTGATGGCGTGCGGGGGTGGAGGTCAGCTAGCATTCGCCAACCGTATTCAACCTCAGATCCCCGAGACAGAATCGGCCCCCTACTACAGCTCGTCTACTTTACCTCGAGACAGCCTCACCCGACGCATGGATGTTCCACCAGACATCCCCTCTCACCACCAGTCCACCCTGGAGAGGAGGCACTCCTCCCAGAGGCACTCGCTGATTGCTGCAGCCGCTAAGATGCCAAATGGAGTCGGAGCAGGAGGAATGATACCTCGCCAGCACAGCTTCAGCCAACGAAACTGTGGGCCCCATCAGCCGCCTCCCCTCCTGGCCCGGATGAACTCAACGGGCAGCGCCTGCGAGGTTCACTACCCCCTCATTCCCAACGGGTACCTGACACGCCAGCACAGCTACAACGGAGAGCAGCCGGAGGTCCAGCACAGGGGCGCTATCGTCCGCCGGGCCTCCTCTCTCAAACCCGACGTCCCTCCAAAGCCCTTGTTCATACCTGCCACGTCCCCCGTTAACGAACAGGGAAAGTACAACTACTGAGGAGGCACACTCCTGGACTAGAGAGGGAGTCTCCCTCATTGTGTCTTCATAAAGGAACTTCTCTTTGAAGAAATGCAGTGGGTTCGAGGTTGCAGACCTTCAAGAAAAGTCGTGTGGCAGCCAGTGTCACTGTGGACGAAAGCCTCAACCAAACGTGTTTTTCCCTCTTCTTTTTGTCCAACGAATATCTTTGTACCATATTGGTATTGCTCAGCTACTTGCTTATTATAGAACTGCTGACTCAGGTGACGTGACGCCACCTCCTTATATTAGGCTGCCAATGTCCTCAGTGTGGATTTACAATGCAACTTAGTTTGTGGACGTGTTGATGTCAGAACAACTTAACACATCAGTCATCTTGAAGACTTAAAAGCCAGAGGCTCCTGCGATGCTTAGATTCATGCTTTTGCTTAACCTTTTCTGATGTAGTGTTGGTAACCAGTCCCCACCCGCCCCACCCTCGAATGTGTTTATATTATGCATGTGTGTGTATATATATGTGTGTTTATATCCACACCGTATATGTATACATATACATATGCAGTATATGTAACCTGTGGTGAAAAGTCAGCGAACTCCCCTGAAAGTAGTTATGTCTCTGCCTTACTATACTCTTTCATCTTTGGGCATATCAAACGATCCCCCCCACCCCCTAAGGAAGATCTTAGGGACACCAAATCATGCACTTCATAGATGATACATTGTCAGTTGGCTGAACACTGAACCACATGTGTTCATGTTGAAAAGAGAATGGAAAAACTTCAACAAAGCAGCTATACTCGTCTTTTCTCTTATTTTCCCGCCCCAGCAGATTGTGACGCAATCGGTTCCATTTAAGTTCCTCGAGATTGTTTCTATAAGATTGGTGCTCCACACATCCAGTGGGTCTAACATCCTCTGAAAAGGAAATAAATAAAACTGAATGCTGACATGTCTTGGACCCAAAGAGGACAAAGTCAGAAACGCCATGCCATCTGGCAGTATGAGTATGAAAAAAACGGACTGCAGTTATCATAATTATTAACTTTGTGGCTATTGGTTGTAAATAAAGGAATAATTACTAGCCAAATGTTAACTGTATGTGTAAATGTGTGCCTTATTTAATAATAGTGTGTGACATGGGGGTAGGGGTTAATGCAAGGGGCTCAGACGGCTACTATGCTACAGTATATCGTAGGTGTTTAATTTCCTATGGTCGTCAGTATGTGTCATATCTATTGTATATTTGAAGAGTTTCATTCCAGAATGAGATATTGTCATTAAAAAATGCACCCATTCAGTTAACGAGAATTATGATTGTAACACTCACTAATGAAGCATATGTTGTGTTATATATAGTATATTGAGCCCTTTTTCTTCACAATTATGTCATTTGGAAAAATATTATATATATTATTTTCAAAATGGATACCGTGTTTTGGAATGAAACCCTTCATTTCTCTTTGTTTCTGTTTCATTTTTTAATCCCAGAAGTGTGAGCCTACAGATTGTTTTGGGAGTGTTTGGCAAAGCAAGTACCCACAGCCTGAGACTGCAGACGTTCAGGTTTGACTGCCTCCATAATATGTCACTTTTTCACCGGGTGTCACTTTCCCCTATAGGTGCCATTGTTCACTTTTGTTTGTTTGTTTGTTAGAAGTAGCATTAGCATCGCTTGGGTTTTTTTTTTAAAGGAGCAGCTCACAGTTCCTCTTAAGTTATCTCCTACAGACCTGTAGCTATTGTAGAAGTCATTTAAATAAGGCTGATAATGGATGGAGCAACTATGTGTCATTTTGTCCAATGCTTAATGTAAAAAAAAAAAGAAAGGTTATACTATATTGCTAAAGAATAGATGCAGGATGTATGCATGAAACTGGACTTCTACGATGGTTACGGCTGTAGATTTGGACTTGTGTCACCGGGTGTCAGCTGCAACAATATGGAAATAAAATTAAAAAACAGTAGTGGAGATTTTAGGAAATTAGTAGAAACTTGGAGAAGTGCAATGAACTCTGATCCGACAAGCTGAGATTGTGTCTTGGATCGATCCAAAGGTGGAACTGGTTCCAGGCGGCACTGCGTCTGAAACATCACGACTTCAACACTCAACGCTTTTCAGCAGAGTCACGTTGGCCACCGTCGACTGGGTCTGTGAAAACAACCCCGTTATTTACTGTATCTGAGAGTGGTGTTTTATTGATTGAAATTTCCCAGAGCTCATTTGGCCCAATATAAAGTGTACAACTCCAACTCGAGCGAATGAAGGAACATACGGCCGCCGACCACTTTTGTTAAAAGGAAAAAAGATTTGGATATGAACGTGCAGCAGAGCGTTAAATAGCTTTCCGAACAAATAAAAACAAAACATCCAAGTTGATTGAGGGTCGTGACCGTAATGGTCCATAAGAGGAATTGTGGCAGCTACAGTGTTTGATGAGTGGAAGTGTTATCTTTCTCTGCCGCTGACAGATTGTAAAGGAGACGGGGCGGTCTCGCCTCTTAAAGCTTAAATCAGTGTTTAATTTGGTGTAAATACATTCTATCTGGGCGGGGTCTCATTGATTCAGTATTATGTTTTACTTTTCTGTTTCATTTCAAGGCTATGCTCCTTGAATAACTATGAATTTGGTCTCACAGAAATACCATTGTATGTCTCTTATACTAGGAATAAAATGAAAATATGATGCAAGCGTGTCACTGGTGAATGTGTTGAAGTATGTCAGAGCACTTCGGGTGAAGCATGAACAATAGATTGAAGATGATAGTTAGGTTGTTATACAGTTTCTTTTGTCGGCTGTTGTTTCAACTCAGAGTTCAAAAACAATACCCTCATTGAAAGTGATGTATTGATTGATGCAGATTTAAAACTTCTTTTGAAAGATATCTTAAAGAAAATTCTCCAGCATTTTGGGAAATGCACCACTTTGCTGTCTCACTGGGAGTTGCATTAAAATATCAGTATTAATTAAATCTGAGGGAGATCCAAGGAGTGTTTAGCCGAGCTTGTACAGTGCGGGGAAAGCACCAATTACAACGGCAGTCTTCAGAGGGGGGGGGGGGGGCATTGAGCCTGAGACCACAGCCTGAGGGGAAGAACTCTACAGACTCGGATAAGGAACTAAAAGGTGAGCTTTTATGCTGTGTACGATGAATTCACACACATTTTTCTTTCATTGTATAAAGTGAGTTTGGTAAAGTTGTTCCACAAAGACTACATATCCAATCCAACTGTACATTTAAAAACAACAGAGATGACCAAAGTGCTGAATATCAATATATATAAAAAGCAGCATAATCATATTTAGACAAGAAACTAACGAGACAATAAAACCATACTGATGGCCACAGACTGAAAAACTCTCATACAGGATGTAAAAACATTTTAAAACAACAACATAGTGTTCGTATTAACCGGTGAATTTAGGAGTAACCGTATTTCCCTGGGAATTAAATGATTCTGATTAAACCTTCAGGACTGGTTTCCCTGTAGCCTGTTTTGTCTCTTCTACATCAACATGTGTCCCCTCTTCTTCATGTCTCTTCTACATCAACATGTGTCCCCTCTTCTTCATGTCTCTCCTACATCAACATGTGTCCCCTCTTCTTCATGTCTCCTCTACATCAACATGTGTCCCCTCTTCTTCATGTCTCTTCCACATCAACATGTGTCCCTTCTTCTTCATGTCTCTTCCACATCAACATGTGTCCCTTCTTCTTCATGTCTCTTCCACATCAATATGTGTCCCCTCTTCTTCATGTCTCTTCTACATCAACATGTGTCCCCTCTTCTCCATGTCTCTTCTACATCAACATGTGTCCCCTCTTCTTCATGTCTCTTCTACATCAACATGTGTCCCCTCTTCTTCATGTCTCCTCTACATCAACATGTGTCCCCTCTTCTTCATGTCTCTTCTACATCAACATGTGTCCCCTCTTCTTCGTGTCTCTTCTACATCAACATGTGTCCCCTCTTCTTCGTGTCTCTTCTACATCAACATGTGTCCCCTCTTCTTCGTGTCTCTTCTACATCAACATGTGTCCCCTCTTCTTCGTGTCTCTTCTACATCAGCATGTGTCCCCTCTTCTTCATGTCTCTTCTACATCAACATGTGTCCCCTCTTCTTCATGTCTCTACTACATCAACATGTGTCCCCTCTTCTTCATGTCTCTTCTACATCAACATGTGTCCCCTCTTCTTCATGTCTCTTCTACATCAACATGTGTCCCCTCTTCTTCATGTCTCTTCCACATCAACATGTGTCCCCTCTTCTTCATGTCTCTTCTACATCAACATGTGTCCCCTCTTCTTCATGTCTCTTCTACATCAACATGTGTCCCCTCTTCTTCATGTCTCTTCTACATCAACATGTGTCCCCTCTTCTTCATGTCTCTTCTACATCAACATGTGTCCCCTCTTCTTCATGTCTCTTCTACATCACCATGTGTCCCCTCTTCTTCATGTCTCTTCTACATCAACATGTGTACCCTCTTTTTCATGTCTCTTCTACATCAACATGTGTCCCCTCTTCTCATGTCTCTTCTACATCACCATGTGTCCCCTCTTCTTCATGTCTCTTCTACAATCAACAATGTGTCCCCTCTTCTTCATGTCTCTTCTCTTTACATCAACATGTGTCCCCTCTTCTTCATGTCTCTTCTACATCAACATGTGTCCCCTCTTCTTCAGGTCTCTTCTACATCAACATTGTGTCCCCTCTTCTTCATGTCTCTTCTACATCAACATGTGTCCCCTCTTCTTCATGTCTCTTCTTCATCACATGTGTCCCCTCTTCTTCATGTCTCTTCTTCATCAAACATGTGTCCCCTCTTCTTCATGTCTCTTCTACATCAACATGTGTCCCCTCTGTGGAAGAGACTCTGAAAGTTTCAGGAACAAAGATTCTCTCTCTTTTTGATCAATTTCTATAAAAACCTGTCTGAAAATGAGCTGATCAGATTTTGGCCACTTCATGATGTCATAACGATGTTTTGGCTTGAGTAACCATTAGCCAATCAGCAACCAAGGTACCCCCCCCCCCCCCCCCCCCCCCCCCCCCCATCATTTGCATCTAAAGTAACAGATAGAGAATCAGTACTTTGGAAACAGGGCTGAAACAGAGGGGATTATGGGTAATGCTACAATGATCTGTTTGCTGTTTCAGCCAATCAGAGACAGGCTCTGTATATATCTGAGACCTGTGATATATTGCTGAAAAACAGTATAACAGGGGACCTTTAATACAGATTTTCGAAGTGTGCATTTTGTTAATAATCAACAATAAAAAACTGTGGAGACATCAGTTAAAAAGTAAATGCGTTTTATCATATTGATCCAATGGTACCTGCTTCCTCTACTGAAGGTAACATGTACATTTGTTCTATTTCCAAACTTGTTTTCTATCATTGAGTATTGCTAACGCTTATTTTAGTTTATTGCCGTTTCCTTTACATTTTATTGGGAAGAACTATTTAATTGGACATGGGACAGTGTTCACTTGGTGCTCTTAAAATATACTTGATACATTTAAAACCTACATGTAGTGTCCTTCATTCGGTGCTTCAAAAAATTTTCAATTTGGCATTGCAACATAGAAGAAAAACATGTACGATGATAAAGACATGATCAACAACCATCAGGTTTAAATGGAGCAGCTTTTACGTTGTGTCTGTTTTTCTAATAATTAGCAGGAAATGTTTGTTTTTTCTTCTAAAATGTTATAAATTGTCACTGAAATGTTGAGTATTGAGCAGCAGGTGTTTATTTTGTCCGCCCACTCTACAACCTGCAGCGAGAAGTCATGTTATTCCCCTGCACATAATGTTCCTCCAGCACACAACACACACACACACACACACACACACACACACACACACACACACACACACACACACACACACACACACACACAGCACAGCGGATATAACATTTCTCCACACTTGTTCCCTCTATATTTTAGCACCTTGCTGTTCTTCTTTTATAACGGCAACCATATAGAAGTCATTGCTATAATTCAGACCTATAGCATATGATGGATGGGAACATGTTCGTGCATACAGAGAGCTCTTGAAATGTTTGTGTGGAGAACTGTATGTGCTTTTACACCGCTTCCTTTCTGCAGGAACATGTCGTCGTCGGAACATTTTTGATTGGTTTTCTGAGGAACTCCAGTAGATTCAAATCAGTTCAATTGTTATACAGAGTTTTAATAAAAATCTGTATTTTATTTGTACTTTTCCAACACCTCACAACAGGGTAATTTGTGGCTTTCTCTCCAGTCTGAACAAACAATGCTCGGGAGTGTTCTCAATCTGAGATTAAGCGCTGAGTGGCTCTGCCTAATAGACTCCCCACAGGCTGATACATCAGAGATAATAAACAGTCATGGTGTGAAGGACCCCCGACAGCGAGCGAACAGGAGGGGCCGGGGCCTGCTGAGAGACATTGTGCAAGAGCATTTCACCAAGAACTGTACTGAAGTTAACGAATGTGGTACTATTGAATATGTCCATGCTTCATACTCCTATTGTAAGAACCTAAACACTAACTACAATACATTTATTTGACTAAATGAGTTACTAATTACAAAATAACTCAATTAAATTGGCTAATGAATTACTATGATGCTATTATGGACTAAGATACATAACAGTATAAAAAGTTACCTCTATTTATCGAAGCGGTTTCAAATGATGCCCACATTAATGGATAGCTCATTATAACAGTCATTTCATAAATTGTCCATCCTGCATATTGAGTACTTTTAGTTTGTGTACTTTAAGAACATTTTAATGCTCATACCTTTTATTTAGATTAAAAGAGGACTTAAGGGTAATTTTCAACTGTGGTATTACTACTTATATTTTAAAGAGGCTATATAATGCTAATTCTCAGGTTTCATATTAGTATTTTAGTGTCTCTACTGTGACATGTCTCATTTAATGTTCAAAAAGCTCTTTATTTATCTCATTGTCTTTCAGCACCTCTAAGAGATATGTTTTATTCCCCCAGTGTTCTGACTCGTGGATAACGTCTATCATATTTTCATCATCTCATCTTTCAATGCTGAGAGCATCTCTAACAACCTTTTTTTACCCCCACATCGCACACAAGGCAGACATCTCACATATTTTAAAAGATGAGTGGATACAACCAAAAGTACCTGCATGGTCTTCAGGTAAAGGAGAAACTCAAAAAATCATTTCTGGGTGAAGCGCCCCTGAACTGTAAGAAACCAATTTAAGGAAGATAGACCACGGGGGATTTTCACGGAAACCACAGACTGGGTTGAAACACATATTTTTAATCATGCTCACATTGTGTCCCCAGCTGTACTCGCCACAGGTTCCTGCCGTCTGAATACAGAGTGTGCAGTTTGATTATCAATGTAAAGAGCCTGCAGCCGACACTGAGCCACCAGAGCATCTTTACTGCAAATGCAAGGAAGTCAGTGAGCCATACTTTACTGTAATGTCCCTCAATTTTACTTCGTGTCCTCCTGTAAATGCATTACCGCTGAATTGTTCTCGGATAAACCTATTCAGGCTCTTAAGCGAAATGATGTTTTCCTCTAAATATACACAGTGAAAGTACTCTGACGGGTGGCTTGACCTTTTAGCCGAAACAGTTCTCCTAATGAGATGGTATTGATTTGTTTATGCAATTATCCTCCCCGCAGTCTATTAGAT